TATGAAATTATAAATATAATATTTATAATTAGTGCAATCTATCTCTTACTCCCTATGCCTCTTTTAACTTAATTTGATGCACCTATTAAAAAGAATGATTGATTAATAATTTTACCATTTTACCATCAGGACTTGATATTCTTAAACATATTTAGATTCTACATTTTTTTATTGATATTAATTCGATGTTAATAAATTCAGCATATAATAAAATAGAAAAAAACTGTTCTCCCTTTATTAGCCAACAATAACAAAATAATAAATTAAAAATATTTAACAAGTAAATAACAATGAAAGAAATAAAAAATTGTAAAACTACAATAAGAAAAAGAGAAATAATAAAAAATCAAATAGTAAATTTTAAATAATTAATTATTTTAAATAATTAGAAAGAACTAAAAATCAAACATTAATCTAGAGTTGAGGAACTTGAATAAAAGTCGCTAGTTCATTTAGGCAAAGGTGGTAATCTTGACTGGCGAAAAGAAGAGAGCCGCCATACATTTTCCAATTTTGATGACCTTTGGAACAATACAACATTGTTTAGATTAAATGAATCTCTCATGTACTTCCTTTTTATTAATTACATAGTTGGTTATTATATTATTTTGAAATATTTATTAATATTTTTTTAATTATGTTTTATATATTATTTTTTATAAATAGTTAAATTATAATATTTATTATTTTATAAAACTTATATATAAATTATTATATTTTATTTATTATTCTAAATAAAATAGTTAATGAATTTTATTTATTATAAAAGCGAAAAGTTACATCATTTCTTAATGCAAATGCATTAAAAAGATGACATATAAAAACGATAGAGGAAGTATTTGCTTACGTTATGAAATTAATAATTAATTTTACACTCAATTTCTAATTTATTCTTATCATTTATTATAATTATTTTTGTATTATATTTTTAAAAATATTGTACTTTAATTATTATATTTAAATGATAATATAATAAAATTATCTTTGTATTCATAATTTTTTTAAAAAAATATTAAATCAATATTGAATAAGTATTATTGTACAGAGGAAATATGCAGTAAAAATTGTTGTTTGAATACTAATTAATATAGTCTATGTTGTGTTACGGGTTTAATAACATTAAGTTTTAGCAAATTATATATAGTTTATTTTAGCATAATTTTAAGTAAAATTATTATTTAAAAAATTACAAAAACCTTTACTCTTTTATGCTTTTGAATGCAATATTTACACAATGTATCAATAGGATATATTATTTAATGCAATGTATTGTAATATACATAAT